GCAGGGGACCAAGGGTGCGGGGTGAGGGCAAGCTGATAATCAAGTAGGTAAAGTGAAGATATGCCATGTACTAGATCCTAATTACCTTAACGAATCAGACATTATGTCATAAACATGAACTAAGATTAGTAATATCATTAAGAAAGATACTGACATGGTGAAATGGGAAGAAAGGGACTAATGGTGTAGGGAAGGTGGGATGGATAGGGGAAGGGTAGTAAGTAAGGGAAGAGAAAAAAATGTGAGATAAAGAAAAGATGGAAATAACGTGCTTGTAGATGGAGAGGGGAGGAGGGGGTGAAGGGAGGGCAGGGACAAGGGGAAAAAATGAGAACCAAGACCTGTCATGTAGAGGTACAAGATCCCAACAATGAATATAACTGTAATGTATCCCTAAAATGTACCAATAAACTCAATTAAAGCTGAAAAAAAAAATAAGAAAAAAAAGGGGGGAGAGGAATTAGAGGAGGGTAGGAGGGGAGAAGGGGATTACAAAAAAGAAACAAGCTGTATTATGCACATGGACTAACTCCCTAAGAGAATTGTAAAATGCATGAACTGCAAATATGTACTAATAAATACATTTTTAAAAATAAAAAAGGAATATTAAGTTTATAGTTATTTCAGCAAATTCACTAACAAGCAACAGCTAAAATAACAAAGATGGGGAAAGAATTAGATTACAAAAACTGCCACACTGTATTACTTAAAATGTCCAACCTTTTACACACACACACACACACACACACACACACACAGACATACAGAAAAACTATTATGATTCCTATATAGGAGTAGGAGGGGGCACTTGATACAAACAGTTCTGAAGGAAGGTCAGGCACCGAATTTAAGACTTCAAATGAACTATTTTCAAATAAATTCAGAGAACTAAAGGAAATCATGCTTGGAAATTTGAGGATACTGTCTGATCAAATAGTAAATACCAATAACCAAGTCAAAATTCTGGGCTTGAAAAGTATCATGACTTAAACAGAACATTCACTAGAGGGGGCTCAACAGGAGATTTTAGAATACAAAAGAATCAACAAGCCTAAACATAATTGCAATAATCTGGTCTGAGGAATAGAAACCAAAAATAATGATAACAACTATGGAGTCTCAGACTTGTAAGACACCATCAAATGTGGTAACATGAGCATAATGATTATTCCAGAATGTGAGAAATGACAGAAAAGACTACTTGAAGAAATAATATCCCTTAAATTCCTCAAATATAAGGAAAAACAATCGCCACATAAAAGAAAAGAAGTTCAGTAAACTCCAAGTAGTCAGTACATACTCAAAAGATCCATAATAAAACAATAGACCTTTCTTTAAAATAAAGGACAAAACCCACATTATTCCTTTAATATAGGTAGAAAAACAATGTGATGTAATCTAACACCTTTTCATGATTAAAAACACTAGAACTACAAGGGGATTTTTCCCAACTTGATTAAAATATCTGACATATTCAATGGTAAAGATTCAAAGATGTCTCTGTAAAAGCTGAAAGAACACAAGGATGTCTGCTCTTGCCATTTTCTTTTCTCTTTGCTTATTCTATAGTGCCAGGAATCCAATGCAGGGCCCTGCAGTGCTGAGCTATAATTTCTGACCTTTTTTACTTTATTAAAAAAAAAAAAGCAAAAATCAGTGTGAGTATTTAACATGGATTTAATGAGGGAATTGGTTACACTGGTGATAAAAAAGCGAAGAAGCCAGAACAGCTCATATGAGTCAGTTTAGAGATTAGCATAGCAAGAAGCTACAGCACTAAATCAGGAGCACAGGGAAAGATAAAGCAACTGTGTAGAAGATGGAGGTAGATTTGTCTGATAAGGGAGCAGTAGTTACAGAAATTCTACCAAAGCAGTAAGGGAATGGGAAAAGAAATCATGGAGCCTTCCTGCTGCCCACCAAACTCCCACCAGTGCTTCCCATTTAGTAATTCTGCCAGAACCTCGGTAGTATGTCAGCGTGGGAAACCTTGTGTGTCTGAAGTGAGACTTCCTGTTTTACTTTAGAAAGCAGGGGAAGAGTGAAGAACGGATTTAAGAGCAAACAGGATGGAGACTGGCACACTCCCTCTCCCATCTATATATGAGATGGGCGTGGTGGCGCATGACTGTAATCCCAGCACTCGGGAAGCGGAGGCTGAGGCAGGAGGATCGCTGTGAGTTCAAGACCAGCCTGGACTACATAGTGAGTTCCAGGTCAGTCTCAACTACATAGTGAGACCCTGTCTCAAAAAACACAAAAACAAACAAAAAAACAACAGGAGTTAGCTCAGTGGTTCCGCCACCTTCTGTGCAAGCATGAGGTCCTGAGTTCAATCCCCAGTATGGGAAAAGAAAAAAAAAATAAATAAATAAACACATATAAATTGCTAATAAGCACATGAAAAAGAGGCTCAATGACATAAATATAAAACTGCCAGGTATGATTACTTTATTTTGAGATACGGTCTTTTTTCTTAATGGATGCCGACTCATTTACAAAGTAACAAACCTATTTAGGAAATTGAAGAAAACTCGATTATTCACCCGAAAAAATGTTCCCAACTGCACATAAATTTTTATAGATAGTTTTGAAGGCTCCCAGAATTACTGAAGCTCATATACTAATTCAAGATTAAGAATACTAAGACAAAAGTTAAGTCTGCAGGTAAACAGTAGTGATGACCACAGAATATGAACATACTTCTGCCACAGAATAGCTTACCTCTCCTAAAGAAAACCCAACTATAACCAATAAATTAGAGAAAGTACTATGTGTAATTGCTGGAACACATTTTAGAGATCACACCTGACCTTAATCTTGAATACAAATATACTGTAGTAGGGAGATAAGGAGAGGCAGAATATGTAATATTTGGAGAAACTAAGTAGTTTGGAATGTCTGCAGCATAGGGCAAAACTTAAGATGGGAACTAGCAGGAGAAGCAAGTAAGATCAGTTCTATAGAGTTCCTTGTAAGATATACTGATAAAAACCAAACCGGTGACCCAGAGACAATAAACAACACTTCAATATATTTTGGCCCATGCAAAATTTTAAAAAATTCCATCAACAGGGATACCCTGGCACCTAAAGGATAGAGGTCAACGATGTTACTAAATATCCCACAAAATTTGACACAGGACAACTTGCCCTAATAAACAATTACTCTAAAATATCAATAGTGATGAGGTTGAGAAATTTTTAAGATTTTGATTGAAACTCAATTGGATCACCTGTTAAAAGTCAACATTCTTAAGCAAATTAATTTACAGAGGAAAAAAATAAGGTATGTAAGTGTTTATTGTGAAAGTTTACTTTTTGCTGGCTTACATATAAGCTTAATAGATACATCTGTTACAACGTAGCCAGTTTTTTATCATATAGATTTGGGCTACGAAAAAAAAAAGATTCAACATTAAAATAGTTTAGCCTTTAGTCATTAATTTCTTAAAAAATGAATGGCGGAACCACTTCCCTCTAATATTTCTTGCGAAAATGTGCATATAAAGAGTCCTACACAAAGACAAAGGGTTTTGGGCAGCGTTAGGTGTTTTTTTTTTTTTTTTCAGCTTTAATTGCGTTTATTGGTACATTTTAGGGATACAGTACAGTTACATTCATTGTTGGGATCTTGTACCTCAACATGACAAGTCTTGATTCTCATTTTTTCCCCTTACCTCTGCCCTCCCTTCACCCCCTCCTCCCCTCCCCATCTACAAACACTTTATTTCCATCTTTTCATTCTCTCACATTTTTTTCTTTTCCCTTTTTAGCCTTCCCCTACCCATCCCACCTTCCCTACACCTTTAGCTCCTTTCTTCCCATTTCTAAATGTCAGTAATCTTATTAGGATCTTATGCACTGTTGCAGATTATTTTAAAGTCATAAAACAAATGGGTTTTTTGAACAATTAAAGAATGGTACTAATGCCTGTGGAAAGACACAACGGGAGGTTTCATCACATTACCATTTACTTTCAAATGTCGCATGTTTGTAAATCATTGGTCGAGTTCTGAGCTTTACGTTGCTCTCATCTCATCTTATTTTTTCAGGGGACAAACAACAAAAACCTTCTCCTATATAGAGAATACACCCTGACACACAAGCAGTCAACGAACGGAGGAAAAGCTAACTGGGGCTGGAAAATATGTAACTAGTGGGCAATCTGTCTGAAATGTTTTGCTCACTAAAGGAACTGGAATTAACTGTTTTATAAAAATATGCAACTGAACTGGGAGACATATTGCAGAGTATGGAGAAAGCAGCTGTCCCAAATTCGTAATTCTAAGTCCGGGTTACGAGAAGGGCGTCAGGAAGGTCTTTCTTTACCAAGCTGGGCGGCTGAGGAAGTCCTATTTTGGTCCTAGTTCTGCTAAGAGAAAGGTTGAAGTACACGCAGCCCTGGTCACGTAGCCAACTCTTTCAGGGGTCCCGATAAAGTGCGCAGGCCTAAGCACTTCCGAATCCAGGCCCCAGGTGTTGTTGCTTTCCGAGCTTCTCCTCAGCCCTCTCCTCACCACGGAGCCTGAAGCCAGCAGCATCCACTTACATGGAAGCTTAAACTGTCCAGCGCCTCCGAGGGACGAAAATCACCGCCATCCTCAACTTGTAAGAGAGGAGGCAAATCCCCAAAGCCTCTCCACCCAGGCAAAATCTATGGCCCCAAAGGTTCTTCTGTCCTGCTTAGCCTGACCCAATAACCCTCCCCGTTAAGTCCTCGCTTACCCAATACCAGCCGGGCCACGTCCGAGGGTAACAGCATGATCCAAGACGCAGAAGAAACCACAGTACGAGGCAATACTCAGGTATAAGCAAACAGCTATAGTTCCTGCGCCTCATCTCCCGGTTCCAGAGGCTGTACTGAACCCGCGGCAATATGTCCCGCCTCTCTCACTCGGTGCCAACCAATCGTTTGCGCGGGAGAAAGAAAGGCGCCGAAATGAAACCCGCCTCCTTGCTCCTTGGGTCTGTCGTCATTTCCGTCCTCAGAGTTGGAGGGGTGGGGCTTAAGAGGGCGAGCCTGCAAGGTGCGGGCGCCCCAACCTAAGGGCCAGCCGAAAATTCAGGGTCGGTCAACATTGGTGGACAGTGCGCAGGCGCGTTTTCTCAGACGCGGGCAATTGTTTTGGGAGTGCAAGTGTTTTGAGCGGACGCTGCGCGATATTTATGCGCATGGGCAGTTTGTGCTCCGCTGCTTAGTCCGACTTCCTCTGGAGAGGCGCGCTACGAACTTCGTGTCGCCTTTGAACCGGAAGCGGGAGGAGGGGCGTGGATAACGGGGCGCTGAAGCTGTGGCTGCCGGAGGCGAGGAGAGCACGGAGTTGGGCTGTAGCCACCGCCGCCTCCAGGTACCACTTTGGCCACCAGAATTCAGTAGTAGTGGCTTCTGTGAGGGAAAATTCCTGTCTGCCTAGTCTGCTCTCGCCCCTGTTTGTATGCACTCTCACGCACTCCTGGGGCGCCCCGCGCCACCTCTTTTCTTCACCCCACTGTTCGGGCCTCGTGCTGCGGCCCTGCGGGATTTAGCCCGGAGCCTCCTTTAAGTGCCGAACCTCCCATCTCCGCGTCCCATTTTCCTGTAACCTTAGGAATTCGGATTTACACAGGTGATTTGACTGCGATTTTTTCCCCCCTCGTAATTAATGCTCTTTGTCTCCTGACATTTATTGAGGTTTAAACTACGGCCTCGTGGTTAAGAGCACGGGCTTTGGAATCAACACCAGCGTTCGAGTTCTGGTTGTCAGTTGTATGACCTGTGCTGTCTTCTGAAAATGTTACGATCCTTAGCTGTGATGAGAACCCTTGAACCTTAGCTACCATGTTTTCCCCCGAGGTACGAATGAGTAGAAAGACAACAACAAATAAAGGTGATGCTGTAATGTGAGAAGAGTACTGTGCTGGTGAAAGGTGACAGGTTCTGGGGAAATTCAGCCCTGGAGACACAGTTTCGCAATTGCTCTTCAGGATAGGATCCTTCAGGACGGGAGGAAAAGTGCATGTAAAGACACAAAAGTGTAGGAAGTTTCTGAAGCTCAGGAGCGAGGTCTGGCATTGAGTAAAATAGATTTGGGGAGTTTTCACCATGTTGTAGTTAGGAATAGTTGAGAGCAAGGAGATAAGAATTTTCTTTCAGGTGTGGTGGAATAACTGTCAGTAGGGACTTTCAAGCCAGTGATGGTTGCACAGGCCTGTGATCCCAGTGCTGTTAGGAGGCTGAGGCAGGAGGATCACAAGTTGGAGCCCAGGCTCAGCAACTTGGGTAGTTTCCTGAGATCCTGTCTCAAAAAAATTGCTGGGGTCGTAGCTCATTGTGAATGCCCTGATTTCATTGTCCAGTACCAGAGAAAAAGCCAGCCTGCGCAATTTAGACTTTGTATCAAAATAAAAAAATTTTAAAGGCTAAAGGTACAGTGGTTTAGTGCTTGACTGTAGTGCACAAGGCTCTGGGTTTGGGCCCCAGTCCCACCATAAATATATAAATAGTAACTAAAAATAAGGGAATATTGCTAGCATTGAACATTTGCTGTGTTCCAGGCCCTGTATGTTAAACATATATATGTTAGTTCTTACAACAACTCTTTGAGGTAGGTAGTTCTAGTTCATTTTATTGCTAAGAAACAGGTTTGGAGACATTAAATTGTGAGAAGTTTCGTAGTTTTTAAGTGGCTGGACTAGAATTTGAACCAATACAATCTGACTACAAAATCCGTATTCTTAACCACCAGACAGGAATGGTATACTAAAGGCAGATATTTTAGGAAAATGGGGATGTAGTCATTGTCAGATTCTATAAAAAGATCAACTTGGGTGAAATTTCAAGAGGAACATTGGATTTGTCAGTTTAGAGGCTGTTGCTTAGGAAATCGGTATTTCAGTTGAATGTTAGGAGTGGAATTTAGTCTGAACTGATACCTAAACGGGGTTTCATCTTTCTGTAGTGACTCTGTATAACTGCTTTTTCGTTTTTCTGTCCACCTTTCAGATCCTTCAACAAACCACATTCTTTTCCACCTTAGAATCTCTTGGCTCTGCTACTTATCTTCCCTTAAATGTTGGTCCTCTAGTTTTTACTATGATGGCACCATTTCTTTCAGATCTTGGACTTTTTATTGTAACCTCCTTCAAGATATGTCTCTTGACAATTTATCTAAAAGGACTGTTATTTTCTATTGTATTTTTGTTTCTTTCGAAGCATGTATCACAATTCGGAATTATGGATTGATTTAGCAGTTTATTGTCACTCTTCTATTTACAGTCTCTCCATGAAAGTAAGATTTGTGTCAATTTAGTTTATATTTCATGTAGCTTGCCCGAACATGGTAACTCAAACACACAGATGTGAAGTACATACTGTTTGCATGTATAAATGAGTGAACATCTGTTTATGTAGATAATACTGAACTGTTTTGTTTTCTTTAAAAAAATGTACATTTTGAGCTAGGCATGGTGGTGCATGTCTGTAATCCCAGCACTTGGGAGGTTGAGACAGGAGGTTTGTTAAGAATTCAATGCCAGCCGGGGATTTAGCTCAGGGTTCCACCACCTGCCTTGCAAGCTCAAGGACCAGAGTTCAATCCCCGGTACCAAAAAAAACCAAAAATCAACAAAAAAAGAATTCATTGCCAGCCTGGGCTACATAGTTCAAAGTCAAACTGATTTGCATAGTGAGACCTAGCTCAAAAAAAAAAAAAAAACAACCATAATATTAATGGTACCTATTCACTAATGGGGGATGTCTTTAAATTTTCTAATGTTCTCTTTAATCTCTTCAAGAATACTACCATTTTTACCTCCTAAGTTAAGTTGATTCTTAGGTATGTAATTTTTTTCTAAGCTACCCTGTATGGGATTATTTCTCTGATTTCTTTCTTGGTAGATTACTGGTGTGCAGAAACACTGTTGATTTTTTTTTTTTTTTTTTTTTTTTTTTTTTTTTTTTTTTCCCCTTTTAATTAGCTCTAAGAGTTTTCTGGTGGTGTTTTTTTGGACATGTATGCAAAGGATCATAGCCACAAATAAGATGCTTTGACATCTTCCCTTTCTGTTTGTATATATTTTGTTTCTTTTCTTGCCTGGTAGCTCTGGTTACATTTTCAAGTCCATATTGAGCGAGAGTTGTGAGAATGGACACCTTGGTGTTGTTCCTAATTTTAGAGGGAGTATTTTCAGCTTTTCCTCATTTAATATGATTTGTCTGTGGCTTTGTCATAAACGACTTTCATCAGTTGGAGATAAGGTCCTTTTTTTTTT